GGTCCCTCCATTGAGCCAGAGCCCATAGGTATGACGAGACACCCAGAGTGACCGGTTTAGGGGTTTAGGTGGCGCGATGATGCCTCCAAGCGAGTGTCTTTCACCCACAGCTGGAAAGGTCGCAATAGCCCGAGGGGAACTACAGCTATCATAGAAGCCATCATCCCTAATAGGCAAAAATTAGGCCAAGCAAAGCCAGAAACCGGCCACCCTCCGCAGGGACAAGAACACACGATTCTACACTGAATCTAACTCGAGACCCAGAAACAGAATGCATTGAGATGGAGTCAAACAGCTCTTCTCTTGATTCACTATGAACCCCAGACACTGAACATGGGAAACCAGCATGGAAGTGTGTAACGCCACCTGCTCCCTCGACTCTGCTACCACCAGCCAATCGTCTAGGTAGTTCAATATCCTGATCCCCAGACACCGCATAGGCGCCAATCCCACCTCCACAACTTTGGTGAAAGTGTAAGGCAAGAGGGAAAGCTCCAAAGGGAGGACCAGAAACTCGTAGGCTACAGCCTTGAAATGGAACCTCTGGAACCTCCTGTGAGGGGGATATATGGCCACATGAAAGTACACCTCCTTCAGGTCGATGGAGGTGAACCAATCTCCCGGGCACACTGACTGTAACAACAGGCAGTTCGTGATTATTCTAAATGTGTAGACCCTGAAGTGCTTGTTTAGGGCACGGAGGTCTAAAAAGGGACGCAAAGTCCCGCCCTTTCTGGGAACCAGGAAATACCGTCTGTACCAGCCGTCCTGGCCCTCTGACATAGGAACCACTCTGACAATAACGTGGGGGACCCACAACAAATTGTTGCCTATACCCTGACGTCACTGTTCGCATAATCCAGGGCGACACTGCGCATGCATGCCATTGGTCGACACAGAAAGCGAGTCTCCCGAAAAGTGCCATCTGAAGGGGCGGAACGCCACATTCGTTTCCGCCATTCTTGTCAGTGTCTGACTATGGGAAGGGACTATTTTTATTCAGCTCACATGTGGAGGCCACAACCCTTGACACCTGTGCCTGAAGCCCGGTACACTCTGGATTCGAGGGCTTCGGCTACCAGTGACGCACCCCAATTGGCCGTGCCACTAGGGGGTACTGTTATCACAGCGAACATCTGGGTAGTGGGGCAAGGGGGGACCCCAGCCCGTGCCACCTCCCCTCTCATCGCACTAGATCGCGGGGGCTGCACGTATTTAAAAAAAAAACTTTATCATGGAGGTTATCATGCCCACCAGTCATAGGTACCAGTGACACCGCACCTTATAACCCAGCTGGAAAAGGGGGGAGGGGTGCCCCCCCCTTGTGGACAGAGAGCACCTGGGGAATACATTGTGCTTCCATGATACTGTATAGCCCTCCTGAAGCCCGGCCCTTTTATGGGCACAGGAGCTCTAGCAATGGCCGACGTAGTACACCGGTCAGCCATTGCCAAACACAGAGGCACTGTTGTCACAATACCGTTTGCTAGTCGACGTCAGCCATGTGGCTTCTCAGTCTTGCTAAGCCAGTAGCCAGCTATCTGGCATTATCCCCGTGGGCCAGCACTAGCCAAGCCCGCTGCCAGCACAGAGCTAGCCGAAGAAAACCGTGTGGTGTTTTCCTTCTGTCTTTAGAATCTCTTGACCGCAGCATGGTTTAGAATAATCAAGAGACTGAACGCTACGTGTGCTAAACGAGAGAGCTACACAAACAATTCCACCATGGGAGGCAGGAATTGCCAGTGGCAGTAAGCTAGCTAGCTCGCCTTGACAAGTCAGCTAACCTGACTACCACGCAATGCAGCGCTGTTAAGCTAGCCTGTTCACGTCCACATAACACCGGATCATCAACCAAGTCTGGGAAGAGAGGTAAACTGGGCTTGACCGAGGCAGTCACAGGCGGCAGGGAGTGCCCACCGACACGGCTGCCCTCTCCCTTCAAGTCGCCCCCCTTAGCCGGCGACAGAGAGCACAACAACTGGGTTAAGCTAGGGCAGCTTTCACATGCTTCAGCCCAGGCAGACAATACATTTTATCTGACAACGCCACAATTCATCCCCGGGTCATGTAACTCAGACCCAGCAGTGGTATGGGCACCTGTGAGAGGAAGCCATAAGATTCCCACACGTTTGCCAAGGGAACATGCGTGCACAATGGACTAGGGGAACAGTGTCAGCCGCGGGCAAGCCACTGTTACTGGCACTGTCCTTTCTTCCTGCACACAAGATAACCCGAGCGGGTACAGCCGTAGCATGCACCACACCGAGACATACCAGACAGCACAATGTCAGCATCTTTTAATTTATATTGGCATGGTCTTGAACCCGAACCCGGCTTGTTAGCCTTCGTCGTTTTTGGTTGCATTAGCCATCTTACTCAGCCTGTGAGCCAGGCTAAGCAGGCAGAAGAATAACTAACAGATTCAGTAGGAAAATCACGAAACCAGTTACCAAGCTTTAACACACACCATCCAGAAGGATGAGCATGCCCTCCTTAAGTGAGACAGTTAAGTTGGAGTAAAGCCTGTTGGATTCTGCGTTCCCATGTTTATTTTAAAGAATGCGTGAAATTGTTCTGCTCAACTCGAGGTGAAGAGCAGAAGAATTGAAGGAATTAATCTGTTCATTGGCCTTGTCAGGCGTGATTCTAATGTTCTTCAGCAGAGGGCGCTAGCGAGCAAACTCCCCATAGCTGTGTTGTACCGAGTTGACCAACTGAAAGGGTACAACACGGTACAACACAATAGGCTTTCCAAAAGTACACAATTATCCATTTAATAGATTTGATCAAATAATTCCTCTATACTCACAACTGAGACGTTGTAATTTTTAGTCATTTTACATTTTAGTCATTTTAGCAGACGCTCTTATCCAGAGCGACTTACAGTTAGTGAATCCTTTTTTTTTTTTTATACTGGCCCCCCGTGGGAATCGAACCCACAACCCTGGCGTTGCAAACGCCATGCTCTATCAACTGAGCTACATCCCTGTATGCATTTATTTGGTCGAAGATTCTAATTGTCTTCCTAGGAAGTGTAACATGCTATCACAAGATCAATATGCATTTTCTCTTAATTTAGACAAACAGCAATTCATAATACAAACTACGTATAGCGGTAGTGTGTACTCTGTGTTGCTTAACCATTGCTATAGGAACAGAAGGGTACTAAGAGTCCTGCTGTGTCTGCAATCAGCAAGGCTTTCAGTTGTTCACATTATTCCGGTTCTATTCAATCCTATTAAATCTCATTAAATACAATTTCTTAATATTCCTATGGAACCCTGTCTCATGACAGAGAGTAAATTGTGTTTGCTGGGGAATTAACATTCCAAATAATTCCCAGTCAAGACAGGCCTATTACACTATTGGAAACAGTCACCCCCTGACAAACCATTCAAGCATGCAAATACACTAACGTTCAAAGGTTTGGGGTCACTTAGAAATGTCCTTATTTTCCATGAAAACATACATGAAATGAGTTTGAATAGGAAATATAGCAAAATTAATAGGAAATGTAGTCATTGACAAGGTTAGAAATAATGATTTTTCATTGAAATAATAATTGTGTCCTTCAAACTTTGCTTTAGTCAAAGAATCCTCCATTTGCAGCAATTACAGCCTTGCAGACCTTTGGCATTCTAGTTGTCAATTTGTTGAGGTAATCTGAAGAGATTTCACCCCATGCTTCCTGAAGCACATTCCACAAGTTGGATTGGCTTGATGGGCACTTCTTACATACCATACGGTAAAGCTGCTCCCACAACAGCTCAATAGGGTTGAGATCTGGTGACTGTGCTGGCCACTCCATTATAGACAGAATACCAGCTGACTGCTTCTTCCCTAAATAGTTATTGCATTGTTTGAAGCTGTGCTTTGGGTCATTGTCCTGTTGTAGGAGGAAATTGGTTCCAATCAAGCACCGTCCACAGGGTACGGCATGGCGTTGCAAAATGGAGTGATAGCCTTCCTTCTTCAAGATCCCTTTTACCCTGTACAAATCTCCCACTTTATCACCACCAAAGCACCCCCAGACCATCACATTTCCTCCACCATGCTTGACAGATGGCATCAAGCACTCCTCCAGCATATTTTCATTTGGTCTGCATCTCACAAATGTTCTTCTTTGTGATCCAAACACCTCAAACTTTGATTTGTCTGTCCATAACACTTTTTTCCAATCTTCCTCTGTCCAGTGTCTGTGTTATTTTGCCCATCTTCATCTTTTATTTTTATTGGCCAGTCTGAGATATGGCTTTTTCTTTGCAACTCTGCCTAGAAGGTCAGCATCCCGGAGTCGCCTCTTCACTGTTGACGTTGAGACTGGTGTTTTGCGGGTACTATTTAATGAAGCTGCCAGTTGAGGACCTGTGAGGCGTCTGTTTCTCAAACTAGACACTCTAATGTATTTGTCCTCTTGCTCAGTTGTGCACCGGGGCCTCCCACTCCTCTTTCTATTCTGGTTAGAGCCAGTTTTGCGCTGTTCTATGAAGGGAGTAATACACAGCGTTGTACGAGATCTTCAGGTTCTTGGCAAATTCTCGCATGGAATAGCCTTCATTCCTCAGAACAAGAATAGACTGACGAGTTTCAGAAGAAAGTTATTTGTTTCAGTTTTCAGCTATGCTAACATAATTGCAAAAGGGTTTTCTAATGATCAATTAGCCTTTTAAAATGATAAACTTGGATAGCAAACACAACATGCTATTGGAACACAGGACTGATGGTTGCTGATAATGGGCCTCTGTACGCCTATGTAGATATTCCATTAAAAATCAGCCGTTTCCAGCTACAATAGCCATTTACAACATTAACAATGTCTACACTGTATTTCTGATCAATTTGATGTTATTTTAATGGACAAGAAAATTACTTTTCTTTCAAAAACAAGGAAAATTATAAGTGACCCCAAACTTTTGAACGGTAGTGTATATATATTGTTAAACCTAATTTAATGTATTTCCCTGGGTGGGGATGTAACGTAGTTGTGGTTTGTGAGATCACTACTGACAGAACCTCACCTGGATCTTGATTGGCCAGGAGAAGTTGCTGACGTAGACATAGAAGGTGATGTTGGAGTTGACCCGGAAGTTGAACTTCTCACAGGAGAAGCTGTCTCTGTGTTCCTGGATATTGGTCTTGGACACAATGGGCACCTCTTCGCCAGAGATGGTGCCAGCTGGGGGTGAGAGGTGGGTCATAGTGTGAGTCGTCATGGGAATTGATACTGAGAGGATAATACAGTTGGTGATGGTCAAGCACACATATAGGTACAGAGGGCATAGGTACTGCTGTGACAGTTGCGCCAGTCAAACAAAACCAAGTTTTGTGATGACAGTCGAGAGAGAACACAGAAACAGGTAGCCAGGCTATTGACAGTGATGTTTTAGAAGACAGATGCACAGATTCTAGCAGTGATAGTGGGTGTAACCTGTCAACACACATGTAACTCCCAGCCAGAGACATGATCTGTTCAAATAAAGCTTTAAAAAATGGAAGGAAAGTGGATTTCTACTTTCCTTTAAAAAAAAGATACATGCATGTATATTTTAAGTGGTCCAAATTGAAGACGTCATCAAGAATACTGCATTAATAGGCCAGACTTTGGGACGGCTTAAATAAAAGATTACCCCATCCACTTTATTAGTGCCATAACACAGGCTCACTGTAATTGTTCTGCACATATATTCAAGCCCTGAAGTTTCCTCTCAAATGAAGTTTAAAAAAAAGAAAGAGATTCTGGGCCGTTAACACGGGAACAGTCTGGGCAAGGTTTTATCTTAATTGAAATCACACAAAAACACTTCAAAAATCCCCCAATGCCATAATTAAAAATATCTCCACAACATTTTTCAAGAGGGGCATTCCTCTACAGACATTCTTGTCTAATGAGAGACACTGAGTAGAACAACAAAGGCACCATTCCCTCTGGGTAAGATGACAAATAGAGTGAGATTTCGTACATCAGAGATTGTACATTTTATTTTTACCATCCCAGGTGAAAAGTACAGTATAACAATGTCCTACAATTGATTATGTAGTGCAGGGGGTGTACATTGTGTGATGCTGAATGGGTTATATCTGCCATTGTGAATATAGCTAGGTGGTCAGTCAGAATCAAATGAGATGGAAGACCCCGACATGTTGTCAAACAGTCAATTAAACATTTACAATAGTGCATACCGATCCAAACTACGGCAAAATGATCAGCCAAAACAAGTTACCTGTTGATCCAATAGACCAGGTGATGTTGAGGTTGAAGTTGTTGGATGCATTGATCGACATGTCCAGGTTTTTGTTGCTCTGTAAAATATGACCACAAAACGAGGTCGAACACATGTATTCCAAACCAACATTATGATGACTTGGAATAATACTTATGTGGGTTTTCTCTTCTTTACATAATATATGCATGATATACATGTTAGATGCACAAAATATATAATAGAAAGGCTACATGAGACCGTCCCTCTGGCCCATCGATGACTGAGGCCTCAGTGTGGTGACTGACCTGTTCAGGAGTGGCCATGAAGTTGATGGCGGTGTAGTGGTGGTCATCCTCCTGGAGAAGGCTGAAGGTGAACTGATAGTCAATCAGCAGGTTGTCTACAGGCACATAGAGACAAACAGAAGATCAGGGATGTATTCTTAAAGTGCAGGGACACACAGTCAGAAGAACCACAAGTCAGAACAACTCCAGTTGGAAGAGTTGCCCAAGAATCAGACCACAACAAGTGCAAGTGACTACCTTCATTTTCATATCAATAATGTAGTATTTCAATCAGCACAAGCTGTACTAGGAAACAAGAGTAGACGAAAATCAATATGACATGGGTGGACGGCTAATAGAAGACATTCACTGGGATTCAATGCCCGTTCTATTTTTATAAATGTTTCTCCTACTCAATGACATGCCCTCATTGTCTGAGCCACAATGGGCTGTAAGGCTGGGATTTGGAACATTTAAAAACTGGACCTCAGCAGGACTTAAGGAAGGTCACCTTGTCTGATTACATTCAGAAGACAGCCCTTGATTCGAAGGGTACTGTCTAGGAGGAGCCCTGTGGGAGACAGTCTCTATTGGATTGTCAATATGCTCAGCAGGACGGTTCACTAACCCCTTCAGATCACTGTTATTAACTCTTCAGGGGAGTTCAAGTTCCACCAGGGGTGCACAACTGAACTCCAGTCCTCAAGTGGTTGCAGGGCCTGCTGGTTTTCTTTTTTGCCTTTTGATCAGACATAGGCCAGGTATATGCACACTCTGGGCATTCAATGATACAGTTGAAGTTGGAAGTTTACATACACTTAGGTTGGAGTCATTAAAACTCGTTTTTCAACCACTCCACAGATTTCATGTTAACAAACTATAGTTTTGGCAAGTCAGTTAGGACATCTACTTTGTGCATGACACAAGTCATTTTTCCAACAAATGTTTACAGACAGATTATTTCACTTATAATTCACTGTATCACAATTCAAGTGGGTCAGAAGTTTACATACACTAAGTTGACTGTGCCTTTAAACAGCTTGGAAAATTCCAGAAAATGATGTCATGGCTTTAGAAGCTTCTGATAGGCTAATTGACATCATATGAGTCAATTGGAGGTGTACCTGTGGATGTATTTCAAGGCCTACCTTCAAACTCAGTGCCTCTTTGCTTGACATCATGGGAAAATCAAAAGAAATCAGCCAAGACCTCAAAAAAGAAATTGTAGACCTCCACAAGTCTGGTTCATCCTTGGGAGCAATTTCCAAACACCTGAAGGTACCACGTTCATCTGTACAAACAATAGTATGCAAGTTAAACACCATGGGACCACGCAGCCGTCATACCGCTCAGGAAGGAGACGCGTTCTGTCTCCTAGAGATGAACGTACTTTGGTGCGAAAAATGCAAATCACTCCCAAAACAACAGCAAAGGACCTTGTGAAGATGCTGGAGGAAACAGGTACAAAGGTATCTATATCCACAGTAAAACGAGTCATATATCGACATAACCTGAAATGCCGCTCAGCAAGGAAGAAGACACTGCTCCAAAACCGCCATAAAAAAGCCAGACTACGGTTTGCAACTGCACATGGGGACAAAGATCATACTTTTTGGAGAAATGTCCTCTGATCTGATGAAACAAAAATATAATTGTTTGGCCATAATGACCTTCATTATGTTTGGAGGAAAAACAGGGACGGCTTGCAAGCCGAAGAACACCATCCCAACCGCGAAGCACAGGGGTGGCAGCATCATGCTGTGGGGGTGCTTTCCTGCAGGAGGGACTGGTGCACCTCACAAAATAGATGGCATCATGAGGAAGGAAAATTATGTGGATATATTGAAGCAACATCTCAAGACATCAGTCAGGAAGTTAAAGCTTGGTCGCAAATGGGTCTTCCAAATGGACAATGACCCCCAGCATACTTCCAAAGTTCTGGCAAAATGGCTTAAGGACATCAAAGTCAAGGCATTGGAGTGGCCATCACAAAGCCCTGACCTCCTATAGAAAATGTGTGGGCAGAACTGAAAAAACATGTGCGAGCAAGGAGGCCTACAAACCTGACTCAGTTACACCAGCTCTGTCAGGAGGAATGGGCCAAAATTCACCCAACCTATTGTGGGAAGCTTGTGGAAGACTACCCAAAACATTTGACCCAAGTTAAACAATTTAAAGGCAATGCTACCAAATACAAATTGAGTGTATGCAAACTTCTGACCCACTGGGAACGTGATGAAATAAATAAAAGCTGAAATAAATCATTCTCTCTACTATTATTCTGACATTTCACATTCTTAAAATAAAGTGGTGATCCTAACTGACCTAAGACAGGGAATTATTATTAGGATTAAATGTCAGGAATTGTGAAGAACTGAGTTTAAATCTATTTGGCTAAGATGTATGTAAACTTCCGACTTCAACTGTATGAACTCATCAATTCAGTGCCAGGGATCATTTGAAAACACAGGGATACGGTCCTTGTAGACTGGAGTTGTGCATCCTGCGAGGCCTATACACACAATGGCCATCACAACCAAACCCCACTCACTAAGAGAGAAATTACATCTTCATAGCCAAATCAAATCAAATCAAATGTTATTTGCCACATGCGCCGAATACAACAGGTGTAGACATTACCGTGAAATGCTTACTTACAGCCCTTAACCAACAATGCATTTATTTTTTTATAAAAATTAAAATAAAACAACAACAACAAAAAAGAAGAGCAGCAGTAAAATAAAAAACAGTAGGAAGGCTATATACAGGGGGGTACCGGTGCAGAGTCAATGTGTGGGGGCACCGACTAGTTGAGGTAGTTGAGGTAATATGTACATGTGGGTAGAGTTAAAGTGACTATGCATAAATAATTAACAGAGTAGCAGCAGTGTAAAAATATGGGGTGGGGGTGGGGGGGGGGGGGGGGGGGGGGGGGGCAGTGCAAATAGTCCAGGTAGCCATGATTAGCTGTTCAGGAGTCTTATGGCTTGGGGGTAGAAGCTGTTGAGAAGCCTTTTGGACCTAGACTTGGCGCTCCGGTACCGCTTGCCGTGCGGTAGCAGAGAGAACAGTCTATGACTAGGGTGGCTGGAGTCTTTGACCATTTTGAGGGCCTTCCTCTGACACCGCCTGGTATAGAGGTCCTGGATGGCAGGAAGCTTGACCCCAGTGATGTACTGGGCCGTACGCACTACCCTCTGTAGTACCTTGCGGTCGGAGGCCGAGCAGTTGCCATACCAGGCGGTGATGCAACCAGTCAGGATGCTCTCAATGGTGCAGCTGTATAACTTTTTGAGGATCTGAGGACCCATGCCAAATATTTTCAGTCTCCTGAGGGGGAATAGGCTTTGTCGTGCCCTCTTCACGACTGTCTTGGTGTGTTTGGACCATGAGAGTTCGTTGGTGATGTGGACACCAAGGAACTTGAAGCTCTCAACCTGTTCCACTACAGCCCCATCGATGAGAATGGGGGCGTGCTCAGTCCTCTTTTTTTTCCTGTAGTCCACAATCATCTCCTTTGTCTTGGTCACGTTGAGGGAGAGGTTGTTATCCTTGCACCACACGGCCAGGTCTCTGACCTCCTCCCTATAGGCTGTCTCATCGTTGTCGGTGATCAGGCCTACCACTGTTGTGTCGGCGGCAAACATAATGATGGTGTTGGAGTTGTGTCTGGCCACGCAGTCATGGGTGAACAGGGACTACAGGAGGGGACTGAGCACGCACCCCTGAGGGGCCCCCGTGTTGAGGATCAGCATGGCAAATGTGTTGTTACCTACCCTTACCACCTGGGGGCGGCCCGTCAGGAAGTCCAGGATCCAGTTGCAGAGGGAGGTGTTTAGTCCCAGGATCCTTAGCTTAGTGATGAGCTTTGAGGGCACTATGGTGTTGAACGCTGAGCTGTAGTCAATGAATAGCAGTCTCACGTAGGTGTTCCTCTTGTCCAGGTGGGAAAGGGCAGTGTGGAGTGCAATAGAGAATGCATCATCTGTGGATCTGTTGCGGCAGTATGCAAATTGGAGTGGGTCTAGGGTTTCTGGGATAATGGTGTTGATGTGAGCCATGACCAGCCTTTCAAAGCACTTCATGGCTACAGACGTCAGTGCTACGGGTCGGTAGTCATTTAGGCAGGTTATATTAGTGTCCTTGGGCACGAGAACTATGGTGGTCTGCTTGAAACATGTTGGTATTACAGACTCAGTCAGGGACATGTTGAAAATGTCAGTGAAGACACTTGCCAGTTGGTCAACACATGCTCGGAGTACACGTCCTGGTAATCCGTCTGGCCCTGTGGCCTTGTAAATGTTGACCTGCTTAAAAGTCTTACTCATATCGGCTACGGAGAGCGTGATCATCCGGAACAGCTGGTGCTCTCATGCATGCTTCAGTGTTGCTTGCCTCGAAGCGAGCATAGAAGTGGTTTAGCTCGTCTGGTAGGCTTGTGTCACTGGGCAGCTCGCGGCTGTGCTTCCCTTTGTAGTCTGTAATAGTTTTCAAGCCCTGCCACATCCGACAAGCGTCAGAGCCAGTGTAGTACGATGACAGCTGAATGCACTACATGTCTGTCTCAGAAGCTCACACTGTGCCATTCACTCCCCCATTTCACGGCTTCTATGAACTGCTGTTTATCAGCCATTAATTTTTACACATGAGAAGAACAAACAATTGTTTGTCATCATTCTAACTTAACAAAAAGACACTCCTGCTGTGTTCAGAGAGGACTTAATTTGACTTCTTTTCAGAACGCACATTTCAAGCCTTAGCGAGACGAAAGGAAATTATGTTAGACAAATAGTTGTGTTTTGTTTAGTCACCACGCCGAATTAAAGGAATTAGCAGATATCAGATCAAAGCCAATGCGTGTCTCTCTCTCCCTCCCGCTCCGGGCACACACGTTGGTGTGTGTTGTTTATCCCATAAGGGTCTTTAGTAAACTTCAAACAGTTCCACATGCTCTGTAAAGAGGACACATAAGTGCAGGGAAATAGACATTGTGAGGTTTCTAGGGTGTTTGGTACCAGTGTATGGTGCTTATTAATGTACAGTATACTTAGACCACTGGGGCCGAGCTCCCTGCCATCCAGGACCTCTATATCAGGAAGGCCAGTAAAATTGTTAAAGACTCCTGCCACCCAAGCCGTAGAGTGTTCTCTCTGCTTCCTCACGGCAAGTGGTACCGGAGCTTCAAGTCTGACACCAACAGGCATAAGACTGTTAAATAGCTAGCCCCCCGGGGCTACACGGACTATTTGCATTGACCCTTGTATTTTATTTTTGCACCGTCTCTATGCACACTCACTCACACATACACACATGTCATTTGCTCACACACACATAAAAAATGCAAACACATTTATACTGACTCTACACACACGCAAACACACACACTCACATACAATCATAATTTACGCTGCTGCTACTCTAGTTATCATATAACCTTATGCCTAGTCACCTTACCCCTATACATATCTACCTATATCACTCCAGTATCCCTGCACATTGTAAATATGGTACTGGAACTGACCCTGTATATAGCTTACTTACATTCTTGTGTTCTTCTTATTTCTATTTCTTATGTGGTTTTGTTCTACTTTACTTTATATTATAGTTCTACATTGATATATTAATTACTGAACTGTTGGGATAAGAGCTTGCAAGAAAGGCATCTCACTGTACTGTTGCACGTGACATTAAAACTTGAAACTTGTTTCTGCAGTAATGAGGAGTGTGTGTGTGCGTGTGTCTGTGTCTGTTTGTGTCTGTTTGTGTGTGTGTGTGTGTGTGTGTGTGTGTGTGTGTGTGTGTGTGTGTGTGTGTGTGTGTGTGTGTGTGTGTGTGTGTGTGTGTGTGTGTGTGTGAGAGTGCGTGTGTGTGTGTGTTTTCAAGAATACATTTTTGAGTTCACAGAGAAGACAATGACATTATGCAAAGTGGAAAACTTGTCAAGTTGCACAATTATTTTCAACATGTTTCAATATGTTAGATTTCATGCCTGATTTCATGGCCCAACGGGGGCCAGTATACAAAATAATGTATTCACTAACTGTAAGTCGCTCTGGATAAGAGCGTCTGCTAAATGACGTAAATGTAAAATGTACATGTAATATTTGCCACTGTGGTGCAAAAGCTCAGAGTGCAAATTAAAATTCTCATCAGAGAAATTTAATCTAAATGTTCATTGGGCACACATTTGACCTTACAAAGATAATTAAATAAGGCAATGTAAGCATCAAATGAGCTACACAAGACAAAAGTTTTCATAGACGACTCATGGTATTAGCATAATGTGTAACTTTATTCCGAATCTAAAAGAAAGAACAAAATCTCACCTGTAAAGTAATTTCATATTCAGAAGCCTGCATCCAATAAGTTGAAACAAACATGATGCCCTATTCAACATCAGCTATACAGGATCCACTTGGAGATTTCATTTAGTGCCTGTTACCATTCATTACCTTGCATTTGAAACACTTTCTTCAAAGACAAATAACTACATGTACAGCATATTAGTACACGGGGAAAGCAATTTGTTTAAAAATAATATCATAAAAAGGTAAAAATCACAGAAAAATGCATTTTCAAAAATAACACCAATAACCAGGTTTCCATCCAACCTTTTTATGCAAGTAAAGAACATGTCGGATAAAAAATGTCAAGACAGGCCTAACGGAAACATCAAATTTGTTGGTAAACTTTCCAAATGTCGACAAAACTAAATACGCTAGACAAGGTGGGTCCTTTTTGTGCAGGTTAGCGTTTTTTGTCATGAATCTTGTTCTGGAGGCAGCTCTACAGAGTGATCACTAGATGGCAAAGCATGGAAACCTAGCTATTGAGACTTTACACTCAGGACACTGGCTCAGAAGAAGAGGTGTCCTTGATTATTCTGGGCCCCCAGGTAAAGTGACACCTATAATGATGGAGGTATCTTCTGTAAAGTAGCTATGAATATGTGCTTGTCTGATGGTAATACTCAACTTGTCTGATGGTACTACTCAGCTGTCTGAGCCAACTGCCTGACTGATAATGTTCAGACATCTATTGTACAATTCAGTTGTCTGCTCAGTATTACTAACATTAATTCAAATGGAGATAATTCCCTCAGTCGGACAGACACTCTTCGTGACAACACCGAGGTAAAATACCATAGTCTACATAGCCAGTCTACAATTAGCAAGTAGAGACTATCAGCACAGAAAAGCCTCCGTGCTTGGGTCTGGGGAGAGTATCTCTCACTGTATCTATCTGACACTGGTTAGGCGTCTGCGCAGAGTGCCTGTCAGATAGTGTTTAGTGCAGACCGCCTGATCCTCTCATGATAAGGGGCTTGAGGGTTGAGGCTGGTAATGGTGGGTGGCGGGTCTGGTGGGACACACTTGGTGGCTCCTTCTCATTAGGGCCTTCTAGCTGACACTGATCCACTGTGAGGGCAACTCATTACCCACACTAACCTGGTCAGCCACTGATGACCAGCTTCCTCCTTAGCATCAGCCATGATTACATTCCAGTGGGAACCCACTGGGCACACACTGGTTGAATCAACATTGTTTCAACGTAATTTGTCAACGTATTGTGACATGGAATCAATGTGGAAAATACATTGGATTTGAAAAAAGTCATCAACCAGTACTGTTTTCATCTAATTTCAACCAGCATTGTAAACATTGAAATGAGGGTACAACTTCAACTGAAATACTTCGACTTAAGTAAATGAGTCAATGTATGATGAGGTTGAGTAGTGTTTGACATTGTATATGTCACTCCACAGACCACCCACTATACAGTATATTAAATATAGGATGAAAAATATTTTTTGCATTTCTACGTGGAATTTTCTACGCAATTTCAACATATACATAGTTCTGATGATTATGCTGAAATTAGATTGGTGTAACAACCTGTTAGTCAGGTTAAGTCAAATAATATAAGTTGAAGTTTTACCCTAATTTCAATATTTACAACTCTGGTTGAAATTAGATGAAAACAGTACTGGTTCATGACTTTTTTCAAATCCAATGTATATTCCACGTTGATTCCACGTCACAATACATTGACAAATTATGTTGAAACAATGTCAATTCAACCAGTGTGTGCCCAGTGGGAAGTCATCTGAGCTAAACCACAGTCCTCCACAGTACTGGTCCTCCAACAATGACCTAGACCAGTTTCCAATGGTAGGAAGTATTAGGCCTACCATTAGTAGAATTATTAAGTATTAGTAGTAGTAATAGAAGTACATATTGAAGCCATTAAGTAGTTGTAGAAGTACTAGTAGTTGGACTAGTGGTAGTTGTACAGTAGCAACACCTCCATTAATAAAATGATATTCCTCATCATCATTACTCTCCCTATCATTATTAGTGTCATTGTGCTAGATGGCTCCACATTTCTGCCTTGTCACAACTGACATTAATAGACGGTTAAATAATTAGCATGTAATGAGCGTGCAAAGTAAACATCAATCCCCTCAAATAGAGGATGTCACACTCAGTTCCCCAAGGAAAACAACATGATAAAAGCTTTGAATCTTGATTGGTTATGACCTAATTGTAGCATTTAAGTGGGGCTTAGCCTTTGAGCCTAAGTTTCTGTGCTCTTGACATATGGAAAACACTAGCCGTCATCAAACATGGCCAACCTTTCAGTCATCTGAAGTCAACAACAGCTTTGCCGATGACCCTGCCTGTTATGAAGATTTGAAATGCCATGTAGGATCAAAATCAGTCATACTTTCTCACAGACCTCAAATAGAGCTCTTATTTGCCCTCCATGTCCACCGTGATATCTGAATAGCATGCTAATAGATGATTTACAGCCACTGTTCTATTTGATAGAACAGTGTATGATAAAGGAACACAGGAAACAAATGAATTTCTAATGTGCCATTTAGAGTATCTGTGTGATTGTTTGGCCATGTTCAAACAGACCTGGCAGATAGGGAGCAAATGGACCAGCTAATGACTTTGAACCCTCTCAACCGACACAGGGGAACGATCAGGATATGACATGTCCCTCAGGGGACACAGTCCGTAGCCAAACAGAGATACACAGATAGACACCTCTCAGAGTGACCATAGTGATTGAGAGTGATCTCCGGACCCATGTCCTCCACTGCCTCCTGGTAACTGTGGGTACACTGTACAGCCAGGGTGCCATCTAGTGCCCTCCTTACTCAGACATTATGCCAGTCAGCTGAACAGACGCAATCTCTCATGAATAATAGAAGACAGTGGGTGCCACAGTGAGTGATGCTGGTAGATGTTCTTAACCTTTCTAAAGCTGGTTAGAATCTGACAATACAAATACAGAACAGTACTAGTTCAATAGTTGACAGTACAGATGAGTGTTATTAGATAGAGATTTGTTTTATATATATCTGGATGTGTTTTGATGTTGTGAAAGGTTGTGCTTTTCTAGAGCTCTGGTCGCTCTTCTTCCTTAAAAATGGACAACCTCTCTCATAGAACTACATTCATGCATGACTACACTCAACAGGATTACTATTGGAAGTGACAGTACTTGAACTTTGTCCAAAACAGCTACCCTTACAACCCTGGTCAGTGGACCAACTTCCACCGGCTGATGCCAGAGAGCATATGTTTTTAGTAAAATATTTCACCAATGTACTTTAACTTGAAAAACCACCAATTTGCTGCAAATTAGTCACATCAATATGAGGCCAGTGATCTGACATTGACATCTGGAGAAAGAAGCCCCTCTAAACCTTGCTACCATCTCCTGCTACAAATCAAGTTTAGAGCCTGACAAATCTGCAGTGGATTGCTGCCATACTGCCTGGCACAGACTAAACGCTTCCATCTGCTTAGCCAACTCTCACTACAGAGCAAAGGTCAAAGAGATGTGCAGATGTGTGGTATGCTGCAATGAAGGTGTGGCTGCAGCGGCAGGATACTTACAGTAGCACGTTCCTCTGAGGGGGTTGCCAAGGTAACGGTTCTCAGAGTCGCAACTGCAATAATGGGAGAGAAGGGGGAGAGGGGGAGAGAGAGAGAAGAATAGAAGACATAGAACAATGAGCTTAACAAGGTATCTGTCACTTTGCCAAAGCCATCAGTCATCACAGACTGTTATTAACATCATTCTGAGGGTTATTTTGGGCGTGTCAGGGAAGAGTGTCTTTGAGAGTAGTGTTAGTATCTGAGGTGACAGTACTGTGTGCTGCTTCTGGTGCTGTCCTCTCCCTGGTTATGATGAGGTGATTTCCCCAGATAGCCCTATCTGACGATACCTCTCTGCTCAGGAGCTTTGTATATGTCTGTCTGTCTGTCTGTCTGTGTCTGTGTCTGTCTGTGTTCTGAACAGCAGGGGAGTTAGAAGGCTTCAGACAGCCCAGCTAGAGAACACCTTGAACGCTACTGAAAGACAGGGAGGACAGCTAGGACCTAATAGAGGCTTGAAAAATAAGCTAAACTGAATAAGTGCTATTACACAACCCCAGTCAGGTGTGTGGAGGACTCCATCAACACTTAATTTGACCCTGTGTTGATTAGTCCTCCACAATCAGGCAGCCTTGACTCCAATACTAAATGCAGGCAGAGAATTGAAAGCAGACTGTACTGTGGGGGTCAGGAGTACCATGTGTGAGGGTTATTGTGGTAGATGGCATTTGATCATCTGGTTTGGTTTACGAGGCAGGGGTCATTACTGCAGTCCAAAGACCCATGTTTATTACCAATACCCAACTTCTACAAAACCCAGGGGGAGACCTTGGAAAGGGCAACAGTGTGGAAAACCGCCACTTTGTAAATACATACTCCACTACTTTGACAAGCCTATCTAAACACATATGATACATCGTCAAATCTGCCCCTTGAGTCAATAAATGGATTCAGAACGTAATTGCTAGGGTTTGCAAGGCTGGTCAGGCATTGGTTACAGCTAAATAAGGTAGGCAATGCTCACTTTCCTGTGCTTGTACATAACAAAACAGATCTGAATTTCATTCAGTGGCTGGCCAACCCTTGGTATGAGGGTCATAAAGTAGCAGTAATGAATATTTCATGGCCAAGGACGGATCTTTATCCTTATGTATTGTTCTTTTAGAGGGCGTTGTTAACAATAACCCCACAAAACAGCTCAAGAGGACTTCAATTCAAACACAAAGGCCACAGCAGTGTTATCTGGTTTGTACGCCTCAGTCCCTCTATTTTTCGAAGGCCTTGTGAGGATACGAGTTTGGAACCGATTGTATTCCCCTTACACAAAGGCAAGGCAGAGACAAAAATATTTTCCAAACCATTATCTGTGTCCTCAGTTAATCTTAAGAACATGACAGCAATTTGAAGATGCACCATGGGGACTTTAGAAGGGGCCCCTAACCCCACTCGCCATCTCCCCAGAGAACACTTAACACTTAGCTAGGGGCTGGCTGGTTAAGTAGCTTATCCAGTGGTAACGGTGCCAAGATGGGTGTACCACCTTTGCTTACTTCCCCAGTCTCCCTTCTTTCTATCTGGCTGCCTTTCACTCCTACGCTCACAGACTGGGATGACAGAGAGAAAAGCACCACTGTCCTTCGGGACCCTTAATCTGCTATTAGGCTGCCACAGTCTCAGCTTTTCTCCAGACAACAGAACACACACACACACACACACACACACAGGTTGTGTGAAGAGTGTTTGACTCCCTGTGAACCCTCAGCACGGCTTTCTCTGTGAGCCTTGACAGAGGGCGGAAGGTCTGAAGATTAAAGGTCGCTGTGGGCGCGTGCCATCGCTCTGTGTATGTGTGTGTGAGAGAGAGAGAGAGAGAGAGAGAGAGAGAGAGAGAGAAAGACAGAGAGAAAGCGAGCGAGAGAGAGTCTCTGTGGTTTGTCTGTTCATGCAGCAGCTGCTGTCAGTAAAAGGAGGAGCATGCTGAGGTAAATGCTGAGATGGGAGATTGGAACTATTTAAAAAGCCAACTTCCCCCTCTAACTCACACAAACCCACCTATGCCATGACCCCACTGGGCCACACAGTGTGCCAGGCAGGGTGGCGACAGCAGTGCCAAAATAAACCTCTGAAACTGAGTCTGTTTACTTCTCTCTCCTCTGGGACCTAGGTTCTAGGGGAGCACGGATAGAACCTAGGTGTCAGGGGAAGCAGGAAAGGAAGGGGAGACTGCTGAGTTTCAGTCTGTCTGTCTGTCTGTCTGATAGGAAGGAGTCTTTTAATTAGACTCACCACGTAAGAGGTACCTACCTTTGATTTCACACTTATGCGTGCACAGAAACAGTGCAAACACACACACACATATCAAATCAAATTAATTCAAGCTTTATTTATATAGTACATTTCAGACATGAATGCAACGCAATGCGCTTCACAGGAAAAAACATAAATAAAAACAATGAAAATAAAAACAGAAACATAAGAGGATAAAAAACAAAAGAATAACAATACAACTGAAAGACTAAAAAGCACCCTAAGGAAAAGCAAAGCTAAAAATATGTGTTTTAAGATCTATTTTAAATATGTCCACAGTTTCGGCCCCCCTCAGCTTCTCTGGCAGGCAATTCCAGAGGCTGGGGGCATTATACTGTAACTAAAGGCTGCCTCTCCATGCCTCTTGGTCCTAGGCTTTTGGATAGTTAAAAGGCCGGGTGCCAGAGGACCTAAGGGACCTACTGGGTACATAACCTAAAAGCATGTCTGACATGTATTGGGGTGCAAAATCATACAGCTGAGCACACACATACACTCACAGAGTATTCGATCCTAATCAAAACAAACACACAAGAAAGAGCTAATTAGCAGCAGAGCGCAAACAAGGACAGGCCTTAGCTAAACAGGTTAAGGTGTTCCTGTAAGGACAGGCCTTAGCTAAACAGGTTAAGGTGTTCCTGTAAGGACAGGCCTTAGCTAAACAGGTTAAGGTGTTCCTATAAGGACAGGCCTTAGCTAAACAGGTTAAGGTGTTCCTGTAAGGACAGGCCTTAGCTAAACAGGTTAAGGTGTTCCTGTAAGGACAGGCCTTAGCTAAACAGGTTAAGGTTTTACTGTAAGGACAGGCCTTAGCTAAACAGGTTAAGGTGTTCCTGTAAGGACAGGCCTTAGCTAAACAGGTTAAGGTGTTACTGTAAGGACAGGCCTTAGCTAAACAGGTTAAGGTGTTCCTGTAAGAAAGACTGGCCCTCAGGCTACCTTTATATGGAGACAATCCAGCAGATCCAAAACTGAAGAGATTATCATAGTGTTTTCTGAAATCTGTCACGGCTGCTGTTCTTCTGCCTTTTATTTTGTATTTTCTCCCCGACAGCAACGCTTGGATGCAGCCTGCTTCCCAAATGGAGGCAATTTCAACAGCCACTTAACTTGACATTTATTTGCTCAGTGCAAATTTCCCTTGTCCACCACTTAAGGCTCACATCTCCCTCCATCAAACTTTGCTCTGCCTCGCTGGTCCATGGGCACGCAGGCAGAAGCTCACAGGAATACACGGTATACTAGCAAATACACACATACTGTAATTTAAAACATTTACATTTTAGTCATTTAGCAGACGCTCTTATCCAGAGCGACTTACAGGAGCAATTAGGGTTAAGTGCCGACAGATTTTAAAACCTAGTTGGCGCGGGGATTCAAACCAGCGACCTTTCGGTTACTGGCCCAACACTCTTAACCTCTTTGCTACCTTTCACACTTCAGCACCATTCTATAAATAAATAAATAAATATGCCATTTAGCAGGCGCTTTTATCCAAAGCGACTTACAGTCATGCGTGCATACATCCTTGTGAGCTGCCTCTGCTGAGGAGAATGAGAGAGCAAGAGAGGAGCCTTGGCCTAGCTTAGTGGTTAAGAGCGTTGTGCCAGTAACCAGTCGCTGGTTCTAATCCCCGAGCCGACTAGGTGAAAAATCTGTCGATGTGCCCTTGAGCAAGGCACTTAACCCTAATTGCTCCTGTAAGTCGCTCTGGATAAGAGCGTCTGCTAAATGACTAAAACATTTAAATGTGTTGACCGAGCCACTCTCTCTCTCTTCTTTCCCAAGGAAATAAAATGCTCCAGGAAAAAAAAAAAGTGTTCTGATAGTATAACATTTTAAAATCCAAATGCGGGAAAAACACAGCTAGCCTGTTGGATGGAGAGAGGATGTTCTCAGCTTTCAGTATTTTTTTCCCTCAACTCTCAATTTTGAGCTCAATAGCAACTACTTTACAAACAAGATATTATATATGGCTTAGAGATACAGAGCGGCGAAATGTGCATTGGACATTGCAAGTGGATAGGCATCATTAGGCAGTAGGCTACAACTGCAATGTAATTTTGGACATTCAATGTACTGTTAGATTAATACATGGCTACTAGCGGTGGGTATTATCTTTAAAGTTAGTGATCTAGCTAATGTGTAGTCTATTACACTGTGAATTACTTAATAAGATTATTGAATATTTTTATCCATTGCGTGATGCCGCATTTGTTTTTGGGTACGACCAAATCATGGGTGGGTGCCACCAACAGAAAAACATAGTGGCACCAGTGCCACCAGGGTAAAATGGTAGTCTGGAGCCCTGCTACAAGGGGAATGTCCACCTTATTGACACATTTTAATATTGTAGTGGACAAAGATGAGAAGGACGTTGGCGCGGCCAAATGCAGGCTACTGTGCAACTCGCTATTCAGGTAGGATGCAATTTCAGAACTTTTATTTATTCATTTTTTCTTATTCATAATAATTTGTTTTATCATTATTATTATTGTATATCGTTGTTATTATTGCAGGCCGAATCATTAACCTAAACCAGTTATTTAAATATGCAAAATGTGTTTTGTTTCATTCTGTTGAGACATTTTCTTTGGCTACATTAAGTTTGATATGTCGTTTTAATTGTGTGCTCCGTATTTAGTTTAAGATAGGTTATAAGTTGGCCTGTTGTAAAATCAATGTCATTAGCCTATTGCTCTCATTTGTTGGGTACGGTAGGCACTTGCTTTTCTTGGTAATTGCTGCAATATAGCAGTTTCAAAACTTTTGTGAAGGTTTAAACCAGGTCTCAAGTGTTTTGCTAAATTATTTTGAGCCATTTTCTTTGGCCAAATTAAGTTCCAAATGTAAAGTTGTGTTTGCCGTAATATAATATCCTGTTCGTATGTTCCCTATAAACAATGGCTTGACTTAATTTTTATATTACCCTAACACACTAATAAAGTTTAGAAACGTTTGTGAAGGTTTGGTGTGGTGTGGCTATTAGTCTATTTTACTGAAGGCCGTTGATATGAAGGCAGTGCGCACCGGCGCTCCAACTGATTCTGACAGTTGAACTTGAGGTGAGGAAGAATGTTTTAGGCCTACCAGAGTTACTCCTATAATCGAATCTCTCTCTATGGGGCTAGGCCTAAGCTTCTCTTCCTTTATATACAGTTGAAGTTGTAAGTTTACATACACCTTAGCCAAATACATTTAAACTCAGTTTTTCACAATTCCTGACATGTAATCCTAGTAAAAATTCCCTGTCTTAGGTCAGTTAGGATCACCACTTTATTTTAAGAATGTGAAATGTCAGAATAATAGTAGAGAGAATTATTTATTTAAGCTTTTATTACTTTCATGACATTCCCAGTGGGTCAGAAGTTTACATACACTCAATTAGTATTTGGTAGCGTTGCCTTTAAATTGTTATACTTGGGTCAAACATTTCGGGTAGCCTTCCACAAGCTTCCCACAATAGGTTGGGTAAATGTTGTCCCATTCCTCCTGACAGAGCTGGTGTAACTGAGTCAGGTTTGTAGGCCTCCTTCCTCGCACACGATTTTTCAGTTCAGCCCACACATTTTCTATAGGATTGAGGTCAAGGCTTTGTGATGGCCACTTAAATACCTTGACTTTGTTGTCCTTAAGCCATTTTGCCACAACTTTGGAAGTATGCTTGGGGTCATTGTCCATTTGGAAGACCATTTGCGACCAAGCTTTAACTTCCTGACTGATGTCTTGAGATGTTGCTTCAATATATCCACATAATTTTCCTTCCTCATGATGCCATCTATTTTGTGAAGTGCACCAGTCCCTCCTGCAGCAAAGCACCCCCACAGCATAATGCTGCCACCCCCGTGGCATAACGATTGTCATTATGGCCAAACAGTTATATTTTTGTTTCATCAGACCAGAGGACATTTCTCCAAAAAGTACGATCTTTGTCCCCATGTGCAGTTGCAAACTGTAGTCTGGCTTTTTTATGGCAGTTTTGGAGCAGTGGCTTCTTCCTTGCTGAGCGGCCTTTCAGGTTATGTCGATATAGGACTCGTTTTACTGTGGATATAGATAATTTTGTACCTGTTTCCTCCAGCATCTCCACAAGGTCCTTTGCTGTTGTTCTGGGATTGATTTGCACTTTTCGCACCAAAGTACGTTCATCTCTAGGAGACAGAACGTGTCTCCTTCCTGAGCGGTATGACGGCTGCGTGGTCCAATGGTGTTTATACTTGCGTACTATTGTTTGTACAGATGAACGTGGTACCTTCAGGCGTTTGGAAATTGCTCCCAAGGATGAACCAGACTTGTGGAGGTCAATTTTTTTTTATCTGAGGTCTTGGCTGATTTCTTTTGATTTTCCCATGATGTCAAGCAAAGTGGCACTGCGTTTGAAGGTAGGCCTTGAAATACATCCACAGGTACACCTCCAATTGACTCAAATTATGTCAATTAGCCTATCAGAAGCTTCTAAAGCCATGACATCCTTTTCTGGAATTTTCCAAGCTGTTTAAAGGCACAGTCAACTTAGTGTATGTAAACTTCTGACCCACTGGAATTGTAATACAGTGAATTATAAGTGAAATAATCTGTTTGTAAACAATTGTTGGAAAAATGCACAAAGTAGATGTCCTAACAGACTTGCCAAAACTATAGTTTGTTAACAAGAAATTTGTGGAGTGGTTGAAAAACAAGTTTTAATGACTCCAACCTAAGTGTATGTAAACTTCCGACTTCAACTGTATATATTTGTATATTAATATCATACAGTGGACGCCTAAGCCTATAGGCCTATGCATGCAATGCCCTGATGCATTCAGTGCTCAAATCTCTGACCGCTGAACCGTGAGTTGGACATTTATTGTTTTAGGAAAGTAAAAAACAATAAAGCAATAGGCTATAAAGTTTTGCATATGCTACAAATCAAAACACAAGGAATAGGATGATTTTAAGGACACGTAAATGTGGCTCACTTGGCCAATATCCCTCGTTTATTGATGGTGTTGGCTGCGTGGGAGGACGCCCTAATGGGTTACGCACCCAACGCATATGGATGACCGGAAACCCTGATACACACACACACCAATAAGCACACACACACAAAAATACAAGTAAAAACTCACACAGGCACTGATACGGCTGACAAACACATACACTTACTATACTTATTATATCTACAAAGATAACATATACTGTACTCATATAACCTTGCAAAGGTTGTTCACAAAAACATAAACTCATATAAATATACATTTACAAGCGCAAAAAAGAAAACCATGCATGCACACACGACACACACACACACACACACACACACACACACACACACACACACACACACACACACACACACACACACACACACACACACACACACAGAGAGAGACAGGCGTCCTGCTCTTGCTAATGGTTCCTTTATTGCAGCCCGTCAGAGTGTACACACCTGCTGAAGCTGAAGGGGATGAGGGCGCTTACCGCCAGCCCAGGGGAAATCGCTCGTTCATAATCAAAATGGCAAATAAATAAATAAATGCCTTCCATTACACACAGCCATTTTGAGAAAACTCTCAGAAAAACAAACAGAGTTTTGACGGCGAAAGCATTTGATGGGAAGCGTACGTGACATATCAAGAAGTCGCACAGTGCCGGCAGCGGAGGAAACAAATATAATTCAATGTGGGAAGCCGACTGCTCCCGACACTTCAAGTATCTGAGTGAAGGACAACAAATGAAATATGGGATAGCGGGGATCAAACGACAACATTTGATCCGAGTTTTCCGGATCAAAAACAACAACATTTGTTCTGTGCATGGTTTAATCAATATCACATTGAATCTCTTTTTCTGTAGCCTAGTTTCATACTGTACAGGTTAACATATTTTTTGAGGAGTCATGAATCTACTGTAAACAAGCAATTTGGTTTAGATTGAAGAGGGTGGAAAACTAGCACTGCCAAGACGTTTTTTTGATGAATAGCACTTTGAACCTCAGAAACACCTCAATCAACTACTATTCATCATTTCACCTCATCTCAGCAGAAAAGCTGGCTAAAACTGTGTACCAGAACAAACAAATATGAATCTAAAATCAGTGGTTTACATTTGTAGTTTCCTTGATGTAAAACTATTTTACAATCTAATCCGAAATTGCAATCTATTCATAAAACAAAAACACACAAATTAGTCTGTATATGTGCTCTGCTTAACATGGAAAGAAAGGCTTGTGTTTATATGTAGAACGTACAGTCATCGTTCCCTTGGTCAGTTGTGTAACTCATGCCAGTCACATGGTATAAATACAAGTGTGCAGTATGAAATGAGGCTTGCTCTGATGTGACAGATACTTAACCCTTGGCCTACAGCTTGTGTGGCATACCACTTCACGGCTGAGCCGTTGTTGCTCCTAGACGTTTCCACTTCACAATAACAGCACATACAGTTGACCAGGACACCTCTAGCAGGGCAGAAATCTGACGAACTGACTTGTTGGAAAGGTGGCATCCTATGACGGTGACACGTTGAAAGTCACTGAGCTCTTCAGTACGGGCCATTCTACTGCCAATGTTTGTCTTTGGAGATTGCATGGCTGTGTGCTCGATTTTATACACCTGTCAGCAATGGGTGTGGCTGAAATAGCCGAATCCACTAAGTTTAAGGGGTGCCCACATACTTTTGTATACACACTGTATAGGTACCTTTAAAAAAAAGTAGGGGCGTGGATCAGAATTTGATGTGTCCACCATTTGCCTCATGCAGCGCGAAACATCTCCTTCACATAGAATTGATCAGGCTGGTGATTGTGGCCTGTGGAATGTTGTCCCACTCCTCTTCAATGGCTGTGCGAAGCTGCTGGATATTGGTGGGAACTGGAACACGCTGTTATACACGTCGATCCAGATCATCCCAAACATGCTCAATGGGTGACATGTCTGGTAAGTATGCAGGCCATGGAAGAACTGGGACATTTTCAGCTGAAATTGCAATAGATAAAATGCAATTGTGTTCATTGTCCATAGCTTACGCCTGCCCATACAATAACACCACTGCCACCATGGGGCACTCTGTTCACAATGTTGACATCAGCAAACCACTCGCCCACACAACGCCATACACACTACACTGTCTGCCATCTGCCCGATACAGTTGAAACCGGGATTCATCCTTGAAGAGCACACTTCTCCAGCGTGCCAGTGGCCATCGAAGGTGAGCATTTGCCCACTGAAGTCGGTTACAACGGCGAACTGCAGTCAGGTGAAGACCCTGGTGAGGACGATGAGCATGCAGATGAGCTTCCCTGAGACAATTTCTGACAGTTTGTGCAGAAATTCTTCGGTTGTGCAAACCCACAGTTTCATCAGCTGTTTCCGGTGGCTCGTTTCAGACCATCCTGTAGGTGAAGAAGCCGGATGTGGATGTCCTGGGCTGACGTGGTTGCACGTGGTCTGCGGTAGTGATGCCGGTTGGACATACTGCCAAATTCTCTAAAACGACGCTTATGGTAGAGAAATTAACATTAAATTATCTGGCAACAGCTCTGGTGGACATTCCTGCAGTCAGCATGCCAATTGCACGGTCCCTCAACTTGAGACCTGTGGCATTGTGTTGTTTGACAAAACTGCATATTTTAGAGGGGCCATTTATTTTCCCAGCACAAGGTGCACAAGTGTAATGATCATGCTGTTTAATCAGCTTATTGATATGCCACACCTGTCAGGTGGATGGATTATCTTGGGAAAGGAGATATTATCACTAACAGGGATATAAACAAATATGTGCACAAAATTTGAGAGTAATACGTTTTTTTGTGTGTATGGAACATTTCTGGGATCTTTTATTTCAGCTGATGAAACATGGGACGAACACTTTGCATGTTGCGTTTATATTTTTGTTCAGTATATTATGACCACTCTGTGGAAAGCTGAGAATCTCACGAACATGATGGTGTTCTCCATTTTGCCACAAGCCTCACAAGCCTCATCTGAAGGTCCCCGGTACCAGTTTAAAAAATGAATGGAAGTATATATGGAGATAGTTTAGTGCCTAAAATAAGGGGTTTAGACAGGGCTTAGACTCTAGAGGGTTAATAGAGAGTGTGCATGCACGTGTGAGCAATACAGGAGAATGCACAGCATGTTAGTCCTGTAAAAGGAGCAAAGGTCAAATGATAATGATGAGAGATTCCCCATTTGGAAAACAAAACCTTTTCACTCGTATTCAAATCATTAAGACACCGCTATAAAATACATACGTGCACATGATTTGACATTCACAGAGACTATTCTACAAAATATATGCATGCACACTCACTCTCTTCATCAATCTCTCAATCCCTCATAGACACGTGCATGCAAACTCAAACACACACACGCACGTGTGCACGCACACAGGCACCCTCCAGAGCTGAGGAGGCCTCATTAGAAAACTACAGTGCCATTGGCAGCAGTGCACTCCTCCACTCCTCTACTCCCAGATTTATTGATGTAGCATTTTTCACCCTGCCTTTACCGCGCCAGTGAAGGCACTTTGGGGTATTATAGTGCTGCAGAAGGCCAGCCTGGCTCTCGGATGGCACAAACACACTGGGTGCTGTTACCCCTGTGCCAATCCCATTACTGGTCCTAAAGCCTGGGCTTTAAGGCCCCAAACGCAAATTAACAGAGAGCCAAATTGCTGACACTGCGATTCTCAATGGGTTCAGAGAGAGTACAACCCCAAATCTCATTCTGAGCTGCAGACGACCGGGGTCAAACAGTAGTTGTGGGATATACCATTAACATGGTAGGAGCTAAAATCGCCCTATGTATTGCTGTTGTAGTGGAATTATGCAATAGGATTGATAATGAAGTGTGCTAGGACAAAATACATCATACTCACAGTTGGCACTGGTCTCCCTTGATCCCTTTGGTTTGGCAGTAGCATTTCCCTGTCGACACCTGACATATATTGGCATGTCCGTTGCACTTGCAGGCTACCATGATCAAACGGAGGAGAAAGAAAGAGAGGAGAGCAGGGGAGAGATGGGAAAGAGGAAAACACTGTCAGTCATCTCACAATGACGCACAACACACAAACCTGTGAGTCAAACCTGTGAGTCAGTGAGTCAGACAGGAGAGTGACAGGGCTGAATGTGGCCCTGAGCTCTAGGGCAAATCTGACATCTTTCTGGACTGTTCTGTTTATGTCTAAATACCCCTCTCTGGTGGCAAAGGGGTCAAGACTGGTGTCCTCACCTAACCCTAAGGTCAGTGACCTTGGGTTAGCCAGTGGGGAGTGACAGTGAGTCACATAATGTGATGGTTGCAGAGGACAAAACAGCATTGCATTTAAATATATTGCACACTCAAGAGCAACAATAGGCAGATACAGTTTGAATGTTTACAGCGAGTCAACGTTTAAATCGTGACTGTTAGCTTCTGTATATATGCTGACCAGAAACCTTGGGGATAAAATTATCTGATGAAATTGCATGTGTATGTAAAAAATGATGGGACTGGGGAGTGTGTTTATAGTTATTCATTCTGAGTGGTCTGATCGAGGGAACGCAGAGGAAATGGGTAGAATGTTGTTTCAGAGCAATGAGGTCAAGGTAACCTGGGGCAGAGAAAGTATAATGAGAACAAAATATTCTCATGCCATTATATGAGTGAGTCTAAGTACATGATTGTGTGTCTTCCAAAGAAGGGACCTTTGGAGGAAGGATTGTTGACATATAAACCACACAAAAGTATGTGGACACCCCTTCAAATTAGTGGATTCTGCTATTTCAGCCACACCCGTTGCTGACAGGTATATAAAACCGAGCACACCGCCATGCAATCTCCATAGCCAAACACTGGCAGTAGAATGGCCCGTACTGAAGAGCTCAGTGATTTTCAACGTGGCACCGTCATAGGATGCCACCTTTTCAACAAGTCAGTTTGTCAAATTTCTGCCCTGCTAGAGCTGCCCCGGTAAACTGTAAGTGCTGTTATTGTAAAGTGGAAACCTCTAGGAGCAACATCGGCTCAGCCGCAAAGTGGTAGGCCATACAAGCTCACAGAACAGGACCACTGAGTTCTGAAGTGCGTAGCACGTAAAAATTGTCTGTCCTCGGTTGCAACACTCACTACCGAGTTCCAAACTGCCTCTGGAAGCAATGTCAGCACAAGAACTGTTCGTCGGGAGCTTCATGAAATGGGTTTCCATGGCCGAGCAGCCGCACACAAGCCTAAGATCACCATGTGCAATGCCAAGCATTGGCTGGAGTGGTGTAAAGCTTGCCGCCATTGGACTCTGGAGCAGTGGAAACACGTTCTCTGGAGTGATGAATCACGCTTCACCATCTGACAGTCCAACGGACTAATCTGGGTTTGGTGAATGCCAGGAGAACACTACCTGCCCGAATGCATAGTGCCAACTGTAAAGTTAGTGGGGGAGGAATAATGGTCTGGGGCTGTTTTTCATGGTTCGGACTAGACCCCTTAGTTCCAGTGAAGAGAAATCTTAACGCTACAGCATACAATGA